TTTTCTTTTTTTGAGGCAGAGTCTCACTCTGTTGCCCATGCTGGAGTGCAGTGGCTCCATCTCAGTTCACTGAAATCTCCGCTTCCTGAGTTCAAGCAACTCTCCTGCCTCAGCCTCCCGAGTAGCTGGGATTACAGACATGCATACCATGTCCGGCGAATTTTTGCATTTTTAGTAGAGACAGGGTTTATCCATGTTGGCCAGGCTGGTCTTGAACTCCTGACCTCAGATAATCAGCCCCCATCTCGGCCTCCCAAAGTGCTGGGATTATAGGCATGAGGCACCGTGCCCAGCCTCTCTCTTTGTTTTAATTCTATAATTTTATTTCTTTTTTAAGAGATGAGGTCTTGCTATGTTGGTCTTGAACTCCTGGCCTCAAGCAGTCCTCCCACCTTGGCCTCTCAAGTGCTGGGATTACAGGCATGAGCCACCATGCCTAACTGCAGAGCATTTTTTTTTTAGTGCATCACTAAGGTACAGTAAAAACGCACGCATCTTAAGTGGAGAGCCAGTGAACGTGAACCTGTGTACACTAGTGTGGCCACCACCCAGATCAAGATGTAGGGTGTGGTAGGGAGGAAATTAGATAATTACTTCAAGCTCAGAGTGGGGCTTGGGAGAAACCAATGTCAGTAACAAAGCTGGTGGTGATAGCAGGAAGAACAGGCAGGTAAAGCCATCAAGACTTAGGGGGAGGGTCAGGCATGGTGGCTCATGCCTGTAATCCCAGCAGTTTGGGAGATTGAGGCAGGAGGATCACTTGAGCCCAGCTGAGCAACATAAAAAAAACCTCGTCTCTACAAAAAACACAAAAGTGAGCCTGGGCATGGTGGCTCATGCCTGTAATCCCAGCACTTTGGAAGGCCAAGGTGGGTGGATCATTTGAGGTCAGGAGTTTGAGATCAGCCTGGCCAACATGGTAAAACCCCCTCTCTACTAAAAATGCAAAAATTAGCCAGGCATGATGGCACTTGCCTGTAGTCACAGCTACTTAGGAGGCTGAGGCAGGAGAATCCCTTAAGCCTGGGAGGCAGAGGTTGGAGTGAGCAGAGATTGCACCATTGCACCTCAGCCTGGGTAACAGAGTGAGACTCTGTCTCAGAAAAAAAAATCACACATAAAAATTAGCCGAACATGGTGGTACATGCCTGTGGTCCCAGCTACTCAGGAGGCCGAGGTGGACCTGACCTTTTTGCATAGGTGGGAGCATCACCTGAACCCAGGGAGGTTGAAGCTGCAGTGAGCCATGATCGCATCAGTGTACTCCAGCTTGAGTGACATAGTGAGATCCTGTTTCAAAAAAACAAAAAAAGACTTAGGGAGAGGAACCTGCAGAGTTGGCCCTGGAAACCTGCAGGCCTCAGTGAGTACCTTTGGGAGGCACTAGCTAAGGTTATAAGAGTTGGTTTGTTTTTTTGGCTCAGCCACAATCACCATTCCAGGTTTTCCAGTTCAACCATAATTTTAAGTATTTGTCATTTCCCTCCAATCGTAGTAGTTGTTTTTTTCAATATTCACATCAGAAAGTGTTTTATATGCTAATCTTTGGCTGCATTTAATTGCCATAAGAGAAGGTAGGATGTTCATTTGTTTTGGACTTACACATCCTCCATGTACAGACTCAGAGGCAGAGTAAGCCCTTGGAGGAGTGGGAAGCTGGCAAGTTTGTGTCTAGCACCCTTTCACACCCTTCCACATCCTGCATGCCTCTTCACAAAGGCTGCTTCTGGGGCTCTTGGAGGCCCCTACATCTCTGAACATAGCTATAAAAGCCATGAAAGTCCTGTGGCTCCAGGGGCAGTTTTGTTTTTTTTTTTAAAAGCATCTTGGAAACTCAAGGACTTCCCAACAGAGACTTCCCATCAGTGAGGCAGCCATAGTTATTTCAGTGAGATGGGCTTCAAGGTCCCCCAAAGTCATGTACCCTGCCTGGCCTTCTGCCCCTAGATAAGCCCCAATCACTTGTTAGCATTCTTGCCATCTCTTAGTAAATTCAAGAAAGCAAAACTTTCACCCACGTTCTGCAGTTCTGTGGGGGTAGTAGCTGCAGGAATGCAGTCTGTCTGTTGGAAGATGTGGGGGAGGCAGACAGTCCACAGACAGTCCAGAGGAAAGGGAGGTTGGTCCTGGGAACAGAGGAAGGCAGCACAGAGGACCTGACCTTTTGCAGAGGGTGAAGGTTTTGAGGGAAACCGCCAGTTGAAGGAGGGGGTTGGTGCAGACATAAGTCAGTTAAAGCACAGGAGAAGCTGAGATGAAGGAAGTTGTTGGCCATTTCAAGGGCCTAGCAGGGCCAGGCGAGGTGGCCCATGCCTGTTATCCCAATATTTTAGAAGGCCAAGGTGGGATGATTACTTGGGGCCAGGAGTTCAAGACCAGCCTCGGAAACATAGTAAGAGCCTGTCTCTACAAACATAAAAGTGTTTTGTTTTGTTTGGAGATGGAGTCTCGCTCTGTCATCCAGGCTAGAGTGCAGTGGTGCAATCTCTCCTCGCTATATCCTCCATCTCCCAGGCTCAAGCAATCCTCCCACCTCTGCCTCCCAAGTAGCTGGGCCTACAGGCGTCACTACCGTGCACAGCTAATTTTCATATTTTTTGTAGAAACAAGGTCTCACTATGTCGCCCAGGCTGGTCTTGAACTCCTGGGCTCAACTGATCCTCCCACCTCAGCTCCCAAAGTGCTGGGATTGCAGGTGTGAGCCATTGTGCCTGGCCCACTTAAAAGCTTTTAAAATAAGTTTCTCCTAGTCAAACTTGTATTTAGTCATACGTTTCCTGTGTACATCGTTATCTCACACAAACCGTTTGGCCTTCTCTGAAGTTTTGTCTCTTGGGAAGCCCTGTTTGTCCTTGCTGACAGCTTTCCATGCTGCTTGTTCTCATTTCCACTTAAAGCTCATGCGTTCCTGTCACAGATTTAACTACCCCTAATTTGAAATTCTCTAACTTATGTAAGACTTGGTTTCTGACCAGGAACCACCTTCTTAAACTTCTCTCTTTTTTTTTTTTTTTTTTTTTTT